TTCTGTCTAGCTGCTCTGCAACGATAACCCAATTTGTGAAGAATCAGTTGAACAGATTTTGGGTTCATCCCACCAACTTTGGCCACTTCTGCAGTCGTTAATCTGGGATCCATTTCGATGCTCCCCTTGACAGCCCTTTTTGTCCTCTCCGATGGACCAGGACGACCCGGACGCTGCTCAGTTGTTTCCTTGCCGTGTTTCCTGAACCGCACGATGATTCTGTTGACTGTCGAAAGCGGGATTCCCAAATTCTGTGAAATTTGCCGCTGACTTATTCCACCATCTGCTTGACCAACTATCCTTCCTCTAACAAAATCTGACAATTCGAGAGAACCTTGAGTTTTAGGAATGTTGTAGCACAAGATAATTAGCGTGCGGACCATTTTCATTGATACAGTGCTCTGTGAACACAAATTAGTTAGCATAAATCAGTTAAATGACGAAAAATTAGGTGTCTATTTACTTGTGACCACTCAGTGTATGTGCAAATGAAGTGGGCTGTTGCTATAGGAGCAAGCCTTGGCACCACATATGCATTTTTTATATTTGGTTCATGGCAAGATCACAATCATTCAACAGTGCATTGATGCTGTTTGCAGACTTATGGCTGGAGGAATATGTCACAACCGCTTTCTTAAGTTGCTAAACAGTATCAGGGAGAAAGAACACAACATTTTGAAGAAAGGAGTCTTCATTGTTTTCAGTGGAAGGGGATAAATATGCATAATAAAGCATTTAGAACAGCATTAAGTTTTGAAACCATACATCAAGCCAATATGGAGTAATATCCTCATCTGCAAAATGAAGATATGGTAACAAAAAAGAACTCTCTGACCCAAAAAATAATTTAAATGAAGAAGGGCTTATTCCTGGCATCATAAATAAACTGTTATCTAAGATTTGAAGTAAACCACAAACTTCCATCCAAACTCCAAAATCAACAGCCATTTTTATTTGAAAGATGGCTGAAGAAACTGAAATCACAAAAATATCATTTGACTGTATGCTTCTCAAGTTTTTCTGTGCAACTTCAGAGGACCCTTATGCCTTAGGTCTGCTTAACTCTATGGCACTTGGCTGGGTCTACCCAGCACTAAAATAATATAAAATAAACTTGTAGCCATCCTTCTTTTTGCTTTGTTGTTGAAGATTGTGAACTATTGGTCATGGCTGCATAAAAGTTAATGTGCTACCTTAAGCCATTATTTTACATTGAAAGGTATGGCTTTGCCATTGCATTCTCTGACTTTGAGTACATTGTTTAAGCCACTTTATGTCAGATGTCCTCTCATGTGAGCCATCGTGTACAGAATCATGCACTTTCTGAAACTTTGGCAATCTGTTTATATCAAGTTTTTATTATTATTGATCTGAATTACCTACTATCCATATTTGCTGCACACTTTTCTCTTGTGACTTTGTATTTGTAGCTGGGTTGATTTTTTTGTTTCCAAAAACTCAACTTTCAATAATAGCCAAAGTAGATTTTTTTTCCATTATTTTTTCCTCAAAAAATGACTATTCTGATTCAGAATGTCTCCAGTGTCCTTGAATTTTCACCATCTGAGTTTGTTCGTTCTCTCACACATTAGTTTAGGCTGCTTCTTTTGTAGCTGTTCTAGGCTTCATCTTACAGCTGTTTTACAACCATGCTGTATCTTTGGCTCCAGCAACTGGAATTTCTCTGGAGAACATCCTATAGGCTGGTTTGTGAAAATCTCTGTATACTTCCATAAGTTATTATAAATCGCATCCTGATTATTGAATCAGAAGGGTTTTGTGCTTGTTGTAGCACAGAGTTGTCCCAGTTGATTTTGATTTAGTAAGTAATGCATTTTGTTAGTTTTTTCTGTTGACATGTCATTCATTAGCATGCTTGTATGAATAAAAATAAATCAGTTCAGCACAACAGATGAGTTGCTTCAGACTTTGCTATTCATGCCTGTCACAAATTAATTCAGGTGGTTACCGTATTCTCTGTTTACAACCAGAATGATTGACATTTGGTTTACACTTTCTACTCTGGGTATTGTGGATATTATGACAGATAATGATTAGCCTGTGAGTCTGATGAAAGAGGGCATAATCATATTAGCATGTAGTTATTTTTTTTTAAAGAAAATTTTATGGAAAACTGTGTAGAGGAGGTGGAACAAGCTAGGAACAGAGGAATTAGACTTACTTCTTGTCACAAACCAGGAATTGTTTGCTTCAGATTATTATAGAAGTATGAATCTCTTTACTTCCTTTTAATTCCAAAAGAGTAATGTTAAGGATTGATTTTATCTATAGATTTATGATGATGAGACAGATAGCAGTGAGCTCAAAACTGTAGAACAAATGCCAAAAGGCAAAAAAATAACTAGGAAAATCTTCAAGGCTGTTATGAGATAGGGAGGTATGTACTTGAGTCTCAATAATCCTATTGAACATTAGTGCAAGTGGGATTATTTAATTTGGAATTCATACTCAGGATTTATTTAGTAGACTATTCATGTCATTCGAAAGCCTTTTATATCCTCTTATATGTTTTTTAATATGTAATATAATTTTATTAAATTGTGTAAAATATAATGTTTGTACAAAGTGAAAAATATTAAAGTGTAAAGTTTTTAGCTTGAACATACAAACACAAATATGTCATTCTATACTGGCACTGATATTTTTTTCTTGCAGGGTGTCCAAGCATCCAATCGAAATTTAGATTCTCGTCTTCGTCAGTTGGATCAGAATGGAGTAAGCCAGGAGGAATTAGTCTATCACTTGGTGAGCCACATGACTAATATTTTGTATTGTCTACTGCCTAGGACAAGTTAAGTTTAATTTTGAGTAACCTAAAAATAAAACATTTGTTGGAAGTTGAAGGGCAATGGCAGTCACACAAAAGAATACCATTTGAAACTGTTGCCATGTTGCCCAAGTTGTACCTACTTATTGTGAAATTCCTGGGAGAGCCATATACAAGAATATTTACTCATAATGATTTTATACACCATTTAATGGAAAAAATATTTTTGGTTTTCTTAAGTATTAATTAGCTACATAGTTTTGGCAAGTTAACATTGATTATGAAACAACCATTACCCCTATGTGTACAGGTGAGGGTCGAAGTGTACAGGTCATGACCTACTACAGAGTTGTTTTCACAATTTAATTAAACAACTTTGTTATCAATGTATGTCAATAAATTTTATGTCATAACTTAGTTTATAATTCAGATTTTAAAATTAAGTGTTAGAACATTAAATTTTTTGTGTGTGACAATATTTTGTTTTATGAATTACATATTTGAATTTGAAAGAATAATTCATAAAGTAAAAATATTATGAAGAAAAAGCAAACTTAGTGTGCTTCAGGGACTTTGTTCATCCAAGTACAAATACTTGAAAAATACAAATTTAGACATAAGTACTAAATTTCTTATTTTTTATTTATTGTTATAAAAGTAACTGAATGTAAAAATTAGAAGCTTATTAGGTTAGCAAAGACAATTTAAATGGAAAGAAATTCCTCATAATGGCATGTGCACATTGTGAGGTTTGATTTTGTAATTCAATGTGCATACTAGTAACTCAATTTTTAGTTTTCACAAAGCTGTCCCACTGTGAATAGCTTTTGCCATACTCTGAGATGGTCTAGAATACAGCTGTAAAGCAAAAAAATAAATAAGTGCAGATTTGAAAAGCATGAGCTTGGGCTGTAATAATTAAAAGAGTGTAATTTTCTGTTAAAATGGGCAGTGATTCTAGAAAGAAGAAAAAGATAAGTTAAATCTATTTTTTATTTTTCAACTTTTTATTTTACCTTACACTGCTGAGTTTGCTACAGTTAGTGTTAGGTTTGATTAAATATCAGATAAAATATAAAGGTCTACTGAAAATGCTTTTGATATTCATTTAGGTGGTTCTAGAGGTGATGCAAAGAAATATGAAAACTAGAAGATGAAAAAGTATTTTTCTTTTTAAAATGATAATCTCTTTGCACTCAAACTGTCTCAGTAAGGGCTTCATAAGTTCAGATACAGATGTTTAGTAAAAATTCTTTATTAAAAAAATCTGATTTTTATGTACAATAGACTAACAATAGTTATTAAAAACTTACAAAATTTCGTGAAGATACACTCAATAAACTCAGAGTTATAGTATGTATAGTTTCATGGTTATGTGATGGTTACAAGGTTGGTCAAAATGACCAAGCCCAGATATAGAGTTAATAAATAAATAATTGTATTTGAAATGTACAATTAAGATGATTCATTAGTTTCCTTCTGGCTAGTGATCATTCTTCTACAGTAAATGGTAAATGCCAAATAGTGTTTTGTGACTCAATCAGTACTGATGAATTTCAGACTTATTTAATTTCAAGAACAAAACAATAACTCTTAGTGATTGACTTTGAAATGAAGATTTCTACTTTAATTTCTGTTGTTATTTAATAAGCTAAGCATAACTTTTAATTGTAATTGGTTATATTGAAGTATTTATTGTAACCTGTGCATTCATTACATATATTCTTGTTTATATGTTTTGCACATAAAAATTTTAATGAAAATTGAAAACTTATGTTTAAATTATAAACTGAGTGCAATTGTATTGTTTTTAATTTTAAAACTTTGCTTTGTCTGGTTTGAAGCACCCAAATGTTGAAGTTAGTTTTTTGGACCATTAGTAAAAGGTGTATTGAAGTCATATGTAAGTTTGTAAAAATAATATTTGTCTAAAAAATGTGATAGAGGTTCAAACTTAGTCAACTATACATAAATTGTGTTAGTTATAGTATGGTCTCTTCATAATTCCTCTCATATATTAGTAAGCTTGGACAAATGTATTGTAAGTGTAGGCATTGCAGTTTTTCCAGGTTCACTGCTTTGGGAAACTAAGAGTTTTGAAAACAGATAGTCATAGTAGGTACACCCATACACACATGCATTCTTAAATTATTTTTATGTAATATGCAACCAATGTAAAGAAATGTTTAAGTGTCAATATTCTGTGTGGTTTGTCATATCATTTTGGCTTTAGTAGAATGTTTCTTTGTTATGATTTTGAAAAATAAAACACATATTCATGTTTTTGTTGTAAAGATTTATGAATTTTTTTTCTTTGTTATTTTATAGTATTCTTTACAAGTGGTTTTTTGTTTGGAGTTGAAATATGAAAAGGATTGGTATTGTTTGATATACAAAATACAGACTTTACAGCTTTTGTTGAGGAAGCTCATATTTTATTGTGACAAATTTAGGATTATGAGATCCAGCAGCTGCATCAACGGATTGCCCATATGGCTGGGGAAAAGAGAGAGGAAGAACAGGTTCAGTTAGAGTTGGAAGTTCAAGAACTAAAGGAATCATTAGACAGTCAGACCTCTACTTACTGTATGCTTTCTCAAGAAGTAAAAAAAACTGAGGTATGGACAGTGTTCAATACTATTAATGCATTGAACATTTGAAGTCTTTAGGGTTAAAACAATATAATTTATGAGAGCTTTATGTTCTGTTATAGATAACTTTATTTCTTGAATACAAAATTCAAAATAACATTTAACATGGTCTGTTTTTTTTTACATGAAAACTAAGGTTTTGTTCAAAAAAATGCAGTATTAAATACTGTTCTTACTAATGCTAAATCAAAATTGATGTTTAAATCTGTGTTGCCTCTCTAAAATTCCGCTGATGTGTTTTTTATGTTATTTTTGGATTATGTTGCTATATGGTGTGTGGGTGTTCTTCAGGAAAATATACTAGATTGTTAAAATTTATTAATTAGTCATTGCACTTTCTTTACAAGGAATATATATACACATATATATAATGATAGGCATTTTTGGAACCATTTGCCTTATAGGTCTACTTACAGCTGCTACTTCAGAATGTCAAGAGCAAAGCAGTGCAATGTTTAAGAAATAATCGTTTTTTATTTTCAATAAGCATGTGCAGCATAAGCTGAGATAAGAACAACCACTTCAGACAATAATGCAGTTTCATGATTTCAACAAAAAACTACATAAAATGTATATTGTTTGACATTTACATTTAACAAGATATAGTAGTGTGTACTCTTTAACAATATGCAATATTTATGTGAAAGGAAGGTTGTAATATTCACTAACATATTGCTTAAGATTAATTACAAGTCTGAAAAATGATTTTGCACAGGAAGGTATACGTTACTGGAAGAGAAAAATGGAGAAAATCTGCAAAGAAAGAGAAGATTTAGACTCAAAACTACACGAACTTTATTTACATAATGAAACTGCTGAACGTGAATCGAGAAATATGACTTCTCAGAAAGAGGTAAATATCAGTTATCAAAGTAAAGATATAAAATTTGACTAAAAAACAAGTCATGGGTATTTTAAAAATTTTTATCTATGTTTTAATTTATATATTGACTATTTTCTATAAACAGATATTCATGGAAAATACTAATGTAGCCATATATGACTATATTACTTATTAAGTATAACTTGCTTTTTTTATTGTTAGTTATTGTGTTTCAGCTGAAAAATTATTGTTATTTCATGATTAAGTATTTAGTGTGTTAAGTTAATTTGTGGCATCATTAATATTTAAAAGATTCTTTATAAATACAGGATAAAAAAAAATTTAAAAGAGATAGTACTCTTAGTAAAGAAGTTATTTTACAAAGAAAACTGAGGCACTATTTAATTGTTTTTATTTTTGTATTTTCAACATATCATTATTTTTTTACTTTTTCAGGTGAGTGTTGCAGCTATTTATTATGGAGTATATGAAATCAGTTTGATTCATCTGTTTTTATAAATAATTTTTGAAGTCATGGAGTTCTAAATTCATATAAATTAGAGGAGTATGTGCTAATCCAAGATAATGTATTTGCTTTAAAGATCAATTTAAAACATAATACATAAGTGAGTCATTTGGATAGAAATGTAGCCCTTTTAAAGACTGATGTTTTCTTGAATATCATATATTTCTGACATAACATGTTTAATAAAAGCCAAATAAAAAACTTTTTAGGATATACTTGTGGAAGAAAGCCTGCTGAAGGTCAAACTGAAAGGCTTACACCAAGTTTTAAATGACTGTGTGAACACAAAATTTGCAGCCCAGAAGCATCAACTTGACATAGAAACAGTATGTTATTTTTAACTTATTATTATTTTTATTGACCTCAGTAATTTTTTCTCTATCAGATTATTACAATTTATTTTCAAATCTTTAAAACAAATGCATTATTATATAGGCAAGTAAAATTTACGTAATTAAGTATTTTTTAAGTGGCTGGATCATTATTTTAATTTTACTTGTGATAGTCTTTAAACAAAAATTATTCATCGAAGAATGAATCCATAATAAAGATATATATACAAAGGTTGAGTATATTATGATTAAACTGTTTTGGAGCCTCATTACAGTCCATAATCATCATGTCTGGTCAGTCTTTATCTGACCACTGTGCATTTTGACAAAAACCATGTTAAAATTTTATTGGATAGTCAGCATGCTTACCCTAGAGGAAAATATTTTTTTACTGATATTTCAACATTCTTTGAAGAAGTTACTGCTTATGTAAGTGGGATACAGTTGTGGATTTGGTGTATCTGGATTTTCAGAAAACATTTGATAAGGTGCCACATAAAGTGCTTGTTAAAAAGTTATCTCTGCAGGTGTGTTGTATAGGTTTGCTCATTGGATAGAAACTGGCTGGATGAAAAAAGCCAAAGGTTATTTTAAACAGAGTTCAGTCAAACTAGATTAATGTCACAAGTGGGGTACCTCAGTTCTCAGTGTTAGGGCCTTTGCTTTTTTTTTATTTATAGAAATGATATAAATGAAGAAATGATCAATATGTTATTTAAATTTGATGATGATATTAAAGTTTTGGATGTTGCTGACTGTAAGGAGGATGGTGAAGTTTACTAAAGGACTTTGGTTATTTGGTGAGTTGGGCTGATAAAATGGCAGATGGATTTTAATTATAATGAGGGCAAGGTAGTGCATGTGGAATATTACAATTTGAATCTTGAGTGTAATTTTGATGGGAATAACTTAACAAATCCTTTATGATTATGTACTGTTGCAACATTTTGCTTATCATTGCTAAGATGATTTTTTATAGCCTTTTCTTGCTGGCCCTGGTGACCCAATTGATCCATATTTTATCCTTTTGTTTTCTGATGCCATTAAGTACAAGGTGTATCCTCATCTTCAAAATTCTAAGTACCCAGTCTGAACACATTTTATAATCTGAGTATATGAATATTTTGCATTTAAAAAGGCTGTGACATATCCTTCCAAAAAGTGATAAGTTTTGGTGTCATTATGTTGCCTACAAAATGGCAAACAATGTCAAAATATAGCTCTGGTACATGATGTTCCACCACAACTTTATATCTGCTGTGGTTGTCATATGTCTTGCTGATTTGCATATTCAAAATCATAATAATATAATGTAATTAACACACTGTATAATATCTTCAAGCATAGTATACATTATTATCCTTCTTTTCATTTTCTCTTATTTCATGCAACTTCTATTTCCCGTCTCTATCACAAATTCTTAAGTTTTAGAAATAATTTCCTTGAATTTTGTTACTTCAATGAAAAGTAGTTACACAGATGTTATATCTTTTTTTATGTTTTTTGGTGTTTTGAAAGTACAATTTGGGAAGCTATAAGTACATTAATTGATGGAACAAAAACCACAGGCTGCACACACACACACATTAAAAAAATTAGAAACGTGAAATAAAAAAAGAGTGAAAACAAATTACAAAGGCCGATGCAGAATTATCATTTGTCCAACCCCCCCATAAAAAGAAACACTTAAGCAATTACTTTTATCGATTGAAAATACTAACTTAGAAGTTTATTCAGTGGTTTTTTGTGAAATTATCTAAATTTTGGTGGTGTATTAAAAGTGCTGTTTATTAAATATACTAACCTGACTAACTAACAGTAAATCAAAATGGTTATTTTATCATTTTTATTTTGATAGGTCGTCTACATTAATTTTCTCAACCACTGTATTTTCAGCTAAATCAAGATACATTATTCATTATTCCAACTAACATATAAAACTAATAACCACAAGGTAAAAGAAAAATTTGCAAATCTTGTATGGGGTACAGGTACCAAGGCCTATGTAATAACAAAAATAGCCTGTAGCAGTCCAAGCATTTTTACCACATTTTCAATAGATTAGTCAGTTTTTTCCTTATCCCATCTCTCTAGTATAACATATCATACGCATGAAAAATTAAGGTTTTTAACACTATTTCCTTTTTTTCTTTCTGTTTTTGATTTTTAATAGTAACGTTATGCCCAAATTTATCATTGATAACAGACATCATGATAAAAACATGAATTTCAATTTTGAGTATCTTTATGCTGCATACTGATCAGTATGTGTATGACCACAAGTTTTTATATCCAATTGAATATTCTTTTTAATATACTTCTGACATATGATTAGACAATTCAGAAAGTTGATATTTTGGAGAATTGTTAGCAGTTAATCATTAATATTTGAAAATAATATATTGAAATATTTTTCAGTACCACAGTGCAATATAACCATGAACTTGGACACATTTCTTTCATGTGATCCAGCAAATAATTACTAACATTCTTTAGTTTTAGAAACTCATACATTTTCATTAAAAAAAGAAAACTAAACTGATATTTTCAAAACATATTTCTTCAATAAATGGTTGAAATACATACATTTTACACTTTTTGTTTAATGCTTTTGATTTGCCACAACTTGCTTATTCTTCCCAAACCAACTTCCTGAGATATAATGAAGAAATTACAATAAACATACAGGTACGTGTATGCAAATGTTTGATTTACTTCTAATAAAGATTATTAAAGATAGATATCTAGAAAAAATTTGTTAAGTTGAAATAACATTTTACCTTTATGGCTTCATCAGAGCTCTTATAGAACAGATTGATATGATAACTGATGTTAAGTTATAAATTAATAATGGTTCATATGTCATGAAAGATTATTCTTGTTAGAACAGGTGAGTAACTACAGGACTATCCTGAGTTGCAAAAATGTGCTTTCAACTTTTAAAATGAATACATGTACTTTAAATTATCCAAAAATTATTGTTTAAACTGTATCTCAGAACATGATTGTGCCTTGACCATTAGTTTAAACATTCAATTTGGTTTCACCTTACAAAAAGAGATTTTTTCTGTATTATATTTTCTAATAATTTATATTTTGTATGAATTGCAAATTAAACAATATTAACTTTAGATCAGAGCAAGCTACCTACTTAAAGCAAAACTAAAAATGAACCAGGTAATCAGTATAGGTAATTACATAGTCATTCCTACATTTATTCTGTTAAAGATTGAAATGTATTGTTTCATCAGTTGGATACCCTTGCTGTTAATGATGTTTTTGTCTGTAATACAGATGACATCTCACATGATTCAGCTAGCGTAGGAGATTTAGGTTACTCCTAAACATATGTATTAAATAAACTAGAGATACAAAAAATCTATACAAAAAAGGTTTAATAATATAAAAATAAATAGAAAGATAATAAAATTAGATAGATATTCTAATCAATATTGTTAATGAAATTAACAATAAAGAAATAATAGATTATGCCTTTCTTACAGAACACAAACACTAGGTATTTGTCTTCAAGTATTGTCATAGATTTAATCTTCAATAAATAACAACATTGGTATAACCATGTATAAACAGAGCTTTCTTAAACTCTCTGTAAAATCATTTTGTGACCAATGAAAACCCATTAAACAGCTCCGACAATGTATCATGTATGTAGTCATATAGCAGAACATTAACAAGAGTACATCCAAAAAATTAATGTTTTAAATATAAAAAATAATAAATTAAATGAATAATACAATAAGCATCTATAATACTGGTTCTGTATTGAAAATATAACAATGCTAAGTGTAATACAAAGAAAACAATATGTTAAACACACTGTAATACAACTACTTACTTTAACTAACCTCTGTCACTTAACAAACCACAAAGAGCAGGTAACAGGAACTAAATGCTGAAAGTAGACATGATAAGCCTTAAGAAAGTTCAATTATAGTAATAAGACTTAGAAAGGAAAGTTACAACAATAGTAAATATGGCAAATAAAGTAATTAGCAAAGACCAATGTAGCTGAACTAATGATAAAATGCCAAACCATATACAGGACAGTTATATAGCTAGTATTCATTCATTTCACCTTCCTCTGGTGCCTTGCAGCATTGAAGAGAGAGACAGAGAACGGTTTATTCCTCACTTGTTCTATTCCTGTATCATCATGTTTTGGGGGGCACTAAGGACGCCTTCAATCCATTGTCTATGTGGTTGTCCTTTTGTTTCCCATCCATTTATCTTTGTATTGAATACTCTTTCTGGCAGAAAATTTGGATGTTATCTAATTAGGTGTCCAAACCACTTGACTTGTTGTCTCTTGATGTATGACAAAGCTGGTTCAGTTTTAATCTTTGTTCTTGTGTCATATAGATAGTATTAAGTATACATAATAAGAACTAAAATGAATGGGAGGTAAAATTGATGTTGGTCAATACACTGAAGCAGTTTTCTGTTACCTTAATTTCCAAAGGATTAAAGTGTAGACATGACAGTTTATAAAGGTTGTAATATTCTGTAAAATGACTAAACCAATAATCAGTAGCCAAAGTATTGTTGGATGTCCCACAAAACTGAAGGAAGTTTGTGTTGAAAATGTGATAGGAGAAACCTTGTATGTGAAAAATGAGAGTGAGTTTGAGCTCTGTCCAAGAAGCTATGTCAGGTTGAACAAATTATATTATATCTAATTAGCTGTGAGTCATAAATATTGTAACATATCTTACTTGAAATATTTTTATTTGGGAATGTAAAGTTTATAACTTCAAAATTGAAATTGTCCAATTTATTGAAATATTTGAACTCGAAATTTTGATTGATGATGCTGATATCAAAATCCAGGTAGTGTGCTTTGTTTTTAGTGAAAGAGCTTTTTCTCAGAGTGAACTCTTGTATTGTTTTACAGGCAGTAAAAGAGAGAAAGGAAGAAATAAAATGTTGTAAAGAAATGTTGCAAACAGAAATAAACCTTGCCCAACAGAAAAAACATAAACTTAGCCAACAACTTCAGGAATGCAATAATAAGATCAACAAATTGCAGATGAGGTAAATCCAAATTTTACCTAATGCTTTATTTGTAGTGGTAATTATATCATAAAAGAGTTGTATATAAGGCTCTGTTTGTGTTTTTTTAGTAAACAGTTCAGTTTAATCTTCCTTTTACAAATAGTGAAGCATTAGATGCTCATTTTCTAAGTAGTTTATATTTGTATTGTTCATAATATATAATTTGGCATTTGGGTGGTTTTTGTTTTGAAAGGGATTATTCCAGTAGAATATTTTTTTCCTGTTTACAATCAAAAGAGATAATTTTATATACATATGTCTCCAGGAGATGTGTCATCTGTACATTTGCTTTTCATGCCTGCACCTTTTGAATGATTTCAACCAAAAATGGTGTGCACCCTTAGGGTTCCCAGAGGAGTGTTATAGGAAGGGGTGGATCATTGTTTTGATCTGACCCCAACCCTGGTCATACTTTTAGTTTGTGACCATTCTCAACTAAAATTCTTCAACTCAACATCATAAGGGATGAATTCCCTACATCCTTTTCTTCCCGTTTTTCACTATGTTGACTATTTCATTTAATCTCTATAATTCTTACCATTAATTTTGCTTTGTTTACAATTTTCCTTCATACCAGTAATTTAAATTCGTGTGTTGGTCCCTAGGAGCTGGGGTCTGCCATATCTGCTTCCACTGTTGCTCACCTTTTTCATCTAATGGCTGAACTCATTTTCCAATGTCCTAAAATTGTCAGTTCTCCCTGACCTTATCATGGAATGCCTTCCATACTTATATTACAGTAAAATGTATCTGTAATAGACCTACTTTACACATTTTCAGCCATGTTTTTTCAGACATGTTTTCTGTGCTGTTCCTTTTGTCTCTTTTGAGTTTGGGTACTTACAAGTCTTACCCTTCTACAAACTTTCAGTTCTACCTTAGTTTACCTTAAGGCAGATTTCTTCCAGCATTTGTCACTCTTTTTTTCCCTATTGTTACTCTTACCTTTAATATTTCATGTTTCCATTTATTTTGTGTTCTGTTTAGATTTCAGGTTTGTCGAGGGATACCTCCTCTTTCTTCCCTCTATGTTGGGGTTTTTGCCATCTTCAGTTCATTCCCTTCTCACATGGCTTCTATATCAGAAGCTATAATTTTCCTGTATTGAAAATGTATTTCTGATAGGTAATTCCCTCCACTTACACTTTCCACCCTTCTTCCCCACCGAAAACCGGTGCTTCCATCTTCTGCCAAACAAGAAGTGATAGTTTGGTGGAAAAGTAGAGAGGGAGTCACGTGCATCATGTGACTATGTCATACTCCATTGGTGGAGGATTTGCATGAGAGACATGTTGGAATCACTAGATTCCAATAGGGGGGGAGCAGAAGGTTTGTGGTATGCATTAAAAAAGTTTGCATATAGAGGGCAGCACTAAACAGGAATAGCTAATCTTGTGAGCGGAGGGATTTACCTATTGGAAATAAATTTTCACTATAGGAAAATTATAACTTTCTGCTATTCATTAAATATACATTGTTATTACACATTATGTAGATGATTTGGGGAATATTTGTATGTTGGTATTTGATTCTTTAAACTTGTTTTTAATTTTTTTCTTAAAGGTACCAAGTATTATTAGGAACATTGGGAGTAAATGAAGAAGATGAAAAAAGTCCGGCATATTTGCTTATCAAGGTAAATTCCTGTACTGCCTTATATTCTGTTAGTTTTAAAAAGTAATTTTGCAAATGAATGACATATATTTTTAATTTATTTAGGAGTATATTTTATGTTCCCACTAATCATAAATCAAACCTTTGGAATACATATACCTTGTACTTTTCCAAGTGAATTTGTTTCATTTTCATTGAAACTGTACTACAGTATTCTAATATATGTATTTAAAACTACAATTTTAGGTTTTAAATCTATTAATTTCAAATATGGAGTGCAAGAATTCTTTGACAAAAATATTCTTGCATAATAAGTGTGTTCAATCTAAAAACTAAATGTTAATTAGTAAAATACAATACTTTTTTTTTCATTAGTACAACACGTTAAACTTCCACATCTCTATAAGACTTCAAATGTGTAATTTAACTTGTGTTTATGCAACATGGTGATTCATAAATGGACTAATTGGAGTTTATCAAACTTTAAAATGGTTTTTCAAGTTTTTAAAAATATACATATTGTAACCTACACCTGCATTTACAGGAATCTTAACCTTGGCCATTGTGTGGACACAAATTCACAGTAACTCAGAAGTATGATATAATAAAATTTATGCAGTATTTGGTCCATGAGCCTGGTTAGTATAGTTAAGAACAAGCAACTTATGAAAAATATACAAATGATTAAGGCAGTGGAGTATATAGTGCCCAAAATAAAGCAGTTATTAATCATTAACAGTAAATTACTTCTGCATTATAAATATAAGTGCGTAAACAAACAATGATTCATGTGCAACTTTTCCATAAGTCATATAGTCCCACTAATAACTGACAGTACCAGGCCTAATTGCAACACAGTTTGGACAGCAGTAAGTTTACAGACTTGCAACATTAAAATCCAGGATTTGACTCCCTGCAGTTGACACAGCAGATAGCCTAGTGTGGTTTTGCCATAAAACAAACAAACAACAAAGTATTTGAAATTACAACTCAGTACAGGTCATCAAATATGTCTGATGACATAAACCCAATATAATATTCTGAAACACATATAATAAATATACAGAAGTTTTCTTAAACTAATCTTTATTTTCTGAATGTGTATACCATATTATGAAATGATCCTACCATGTAACTGCTCCAAGCCATATATTCTGCTCCAAAAAGTTAAAAAATAGAGTTAAGTGTTATTTCAATTTTGAAATTTGTATTGCAGTTATGCACTCGATACCTAAAAGTGCTCAGGATTCCGGAAATGGAGTATGATGTTGTATTATATAACTATAATGCTCATTAACTGGTATGATATTGTATAATTACCAAATTGCAGTTAACATGTCAATATATATGTATATATAAACATGAATTAATTCCTTTTATGTATAACATTTTAGATAGGGTGCTTTCTAAGCATTGAGACTATTCTAAAACTTGACACATGTAATGCGTAATGTTTATGCAAGTGTTTTGGTTTTTTTTTGTGAAAAATGCATTTATATTCCTGTACTGATTATTTTAGAAATTAAATTAGTGAAACTTGTGATTGTTTCTAATAGATTTTTAAAACTTCATCTAATAGGCAGCACAAGAGAAAGAGGAACTTAGACTTCGTGGGAAGGAGTTAAGTGCTGTTGTATCTCAAGCAGAAGAAGAAATGGTGGCTTTGAAGAATAGTGTGGAGTTGGTTCTAGCTGAGAACACTCAGTTAAGGCAGACATTAAAACCACTTGGTGAAGAAGGTTAGTGAAATGACTGTGTACTGTGAGATTAGTTTTAAAATACGTTCATCTTACTTTCTAAGAACCAATATAATACTTTGCATCTGATTTAACTCTCAAACCTCAAAAGTTAAGTAAAAATAATAAGTCTAACTATTTTAACAATTTTTAACTTGCAAATAACTTATGACTGATATTTTGTCATCTTGTAACATTTATTTAGTGCAATTCAGCCCTTTTTGATCCAATAACCATAATAACTTTTTTTTTGTTATTGTTGAAGTTTAATGAGCATTTTCTTCTCTTGTTTTGTGGTCTAAACAATTATTAAGAAAGCTTAGCTTTGGAAATAGATATAGCAAATGTTTAAATATGATTGTATAAAGCAAGTTATATAAACTAATTACATCAGTGTAGAGTAAATAAAGCGGTTTCAGAAGCATTTTATGATTCCTCAATACACTGACTTGGTGATACTCATGTAGGGGTGAACAAAGGAATATATAATGCGAAGCTTAGAATACTTAGGAACAAGTTACAAAACTGTGAATGTTTTGTAGTTTCTTTAGATATTATATCCATTCCTAAAATATTGTTTTGTGTTAACTTATATCTGTGTGAAAGTTATAGAAATTTTCATATAACAAGACTTCAGGTAAGCTACTTTAGGATTGGTGAGTACAGTAGGTGAGGCAAAATATTCTAGATGAGGACTCAGATTCTCATTTATTAAATGTTACCTTATTTATTAAATATTATAGTGAAATTTACTATATTCAAACATTGTATACAAATGAAATAATTTGTTACAGAGGTTGAGTATATTATACTGAAATAATTTTGGAGCCCACCACATCATTACAGTCCATGTTGCCACATCTGGTCATACTCTATTTTATGACACTGCATCTTGACAATATTCATACAGTGTAGTTTCCATTGTAGGAGACTCTGTCCTCAGGCTCTCATATTAAAAGCAAACCCCTCCTTCCTGCATGCATTCAATAATCCATTTAGTTGGCAAAGATAACAGTTTCCTTGTGTCCCTTTCAACACTCTGATTGCACAGAAATCAATAGGAGCTGCATTCAGAAACTTGACCAGTGTGTCTTTGTATAGAATACCATGAATACCAATTTTCTTCTTCAGCTGCTTAAGGTGTCTGGCAGTTGAACAGATATATTGGTGAAACAACTTGGGTCACTTCTCCAGGTGGAGATCTTTTTGATTATATTGTGTATTGTTGCCTGGGTCACATGGATTGCTTTTACTAATGAATTTTAGTTTCTTGGGTTGTCACCTGTTACAAGCCACTGCACTTTACTTATCATTGTTGTGGTTGATTTGTTGCAGGTTATTTTTCTGGACTGATGATCCTGGTGCCCAAAATTGATCCATATTTCTTTGTTTTTCCAGTACAGTTAATTACTAGCAACATTTTTGTCACTTGTAATTTAAAGTCCCTGATCTGAGTTTATGAATATTTTGCTTCAGAAAGGGTTGTTACGTATCCTTCCTAAATGTTTTCAGTTTTCTGTGATATCACACTACCTATGAAATTCTAAACAGTGGTTGTTACGTGATTTGCTGGTCTGCTTATTCAAAATCATTTGAACATAAAGTACACATTCCTCATTGTGGAAAAGAAACTGTGTTTACTTGATATAAATTTACTTCAACCAAAAATAATGTAAGCAAAAATCATGATATCTAGCTTGACAAAGGTATTGTGATGCCATATTAAAAGATGAGGTCCTAGGTAACTTATAAAGCTCTGTCAATTTTTGTGTTTCTTTTTTACTGCAATCAGCAAAATAAAGTATTAATAGCAATATGATAATGAATATCAATCAAGTTGAAACTAACTGGATATGGAAAAGGGAACTTTCTGAACAAAAGTAAAAATATGAAAATTCTGAGATTAAAGAAATTATTCCTATGGTTTTTAACAAAATATTCTAGAACCTGAAATATGTTAGAGGTATTAAATGAGAGTCCATCTTTTTCTAAGCCAAAACTAGGTTCTGTTTAGTTTGACCTAAGTTTCATGCTATTTGTTTAAGCATTTCTACTGTAAGAAGGATATCTCTGAGATTCCCCTGATCTCAAAAGGGTAAATTAGTTCTTTTTTAGACTTGAAATCAGAGATGCATAAAAAGAGTGTTTCTTTTGTTTCAGATATGTTGCTACATGGCAGTAGGTCTGTTATTCAATACCAGAACTCACCAGCAGGATTGGTCATTATAGCTGATAAAAATTTATCCAAAAATGCTATTTTATGTGAGGAGAAAAAGCTTCTGTGTAGCATTGTCTTGATCACAAATGTTAGGTCTGTGGGTTCTATTGTTTTATCAGCTTTCAGCATTTGACACTGTGACTAAATTCTTTGTACTTATAAAATAGCAATTTGATATGCAATAGACTTTTGTCTGATGTCATGTCCAGCCTGGCTGATGAGTTCTGGTATTCAGTGAAATATCTCTTAAATGTTAAAAAAACATCTGCATTTTATTATGATTTTTCACAAATATGAAGCATAAGAATTAGCTTCTTTCTGTGAAATTATATCTTTGAATGTATATATATACTTCAAAACCATGGTTTTCATGTAAAAAAACAAGCACATATATAAATCTTGTAATAGCTTTGAAAAATGCTATATTTGAAAGATAGTATTTTTAACTACAATTTTCTTTTGTTAAGATGTAATTTTTTACCTTTTTTCTCTTTACTACATTTCAACAACAGTAATACTATTTGTCTATCTCTTCTCTTTTCACATTCTGTAGCTTCAGCTGTTACTTGCCAAGCAATTTTTGGCCATGGTTACATTTTATCTTGATCCTATAACCATAATACTTGCCTTGTATACTTGGTGCTGTGAGTTGTTTTGGTTTTTAATGAACATTTTCTTGACTTGTTTTGGTTATGTTTTGCATGCCTTTGATTTGTTTTTCTGTTTTTTACTTACATATTAGTTAATGTAAGTATTTCTGAGTTCACTGGGACTTTAGTGTTTTCATGTCTTTCAGTATTTTGTCACCAAGTATGTTTTTGTAGAATATCTACGTATTGTGTTTTTTTAAATATAAAGTGGCTAATTTTCAACTCTTTTTGCACCAGTCTCCTGCAATCTGTAGGAGACCAACTGTTGCACAAACATCCTACCCCAAGTAAGATTTTGTTAAGGATTATAAGTATTTTGTACACAAATAAGACATTATTTTAATTAAGTCTTGCTACTAAAAATGTGTCATTTATCTGTTGTAGTTATTTGCACTCAAACTATTCAGAGTTTGAGTGCAAGGTGATTTTCATTTTGAGTATAAAAATACTTTTCTTCATCTTACAGTTTTTGAGTTTCATTTGCATAACCTCTAGTATCTCTTAAATGAATATCAAAAACTTTTTTAATGTAAATGTTTAGATTTTATTTTTCATTTTCTTTACCATATCACTAACTTTAGATATTATCATCAACATACAATACAATGAAATGTTTACGATAAAAAAAAAAATAGAAAAATGTACACACCTTTCAATTTGTTGTAGCATATCTTAAAAGATCTTCTTTTGTTTATAATCTCAACACAAGTCAATGGTGCCCTTGGGGCACATTACACTATCTTTGACGGTGATGCGCAAGCCTTCAGCAAAATTGTCTTGTGCTCATGCAAGATTGTAAGCCGTAAGAACTGAGGCAAAGTTTGAAAAATATTCAATAAATGTTTAAACCTTTCAATTATGCATTTTAAAACATAATTAATTAAGACATAAACTCTAAATATAGTTTAACTGCCTCTATAACTATAACATACTTAGGTAAGAAACAACTGTAAGTACTATCATGGACAAAGCAGCCAACAATACTACTGGTAGTTACATCTACCTGATAACTACTGAGTTCTAATTTCAAAATAACTGTTGTTAGATTATAGTGTAAAATGAGTTTTTTCTGATGATTATAAGCACGTGTGTCAACTAAGTACATGCAGCTTGTGAATCTCAAGGCTAAACATAGAAGGTGGACATGGCACCTGTCAGGGGTTGGAAAAATTTATCTATTGTTTCAACTAAACTCAGTCAAAGAAATTTGGAACATATGTCTAAATAACATAGTAAATATAGTTTTTATAGACATACATCTATACACACCATAATTGCTGGTTCAAGTTTGAAATTGTGAAAGTTAGATTTTTGAATACTCGTGCATCATGTGAAAACAAAACTGAAGTTAAAGTAGTTTCATTTAAAGGTTTGTTTTGAAATAAGGAATTAAAACTCAGATAACATAAAACTTGAATAATAACATACGTTTTAATGTTAATTTCATCAAATACATTGATAGTAAAGTTGTATAATAAATTAGAATGTTACTCAAGGACTTGCATAGAAAGATGTTTAAAAGGTTAAGCTCACATTTCATAGTGGTATTATTTTTACTGTTTGATATAGTTTAATGTTCTCAAAGATGTAGTGTGAGTGTTTTTAACGCATTCATGAAAATTGATTTGGATTAAGAGAGAGACATTAATTCATCATTGTTTTGTTTTAGTATTGTTTTACATGTTCAAATCTGACATTTCTGTTTGTTTTTTTTGCAATTTCTTAAGTATTGGTTATTTTTGGCTTATCTAAAGAAGTTTAAATTTTTTGTTGTTACTAATTGTCTTATACCCTTGGGATACAACAGTTTCTTTAACTAGTGTGAGGAATTATGTTGGTTTGAACATTTTTTACTTGTTTTTGTTTTATTCTACAGTGTAGCATGCATGTTACTTGGTAAAATCTGGTGGAACTATTCCTGTTTTCTTTTCATTATTTGAATTTAATGTTTTCTTTTCATCTCACAAAGAATGAGGATTTTATAAAACAACTTATAGGTTTCTGCGTGTAAAATGTTCACCTTCCAATAGGATTCAGTCATATGCTTATAAAATTGTAAATGTTTATTTTTATGTTCTTTTATAGGTGATTTACGTAGAGTCTTCAAAGCTGAAATGGGCAGCAACTGTCTAGTTCAGAGTGACACTTAAGGAGAAAGTCTTGGATGACTAAGCTACAGAAGTAGATCAGGTGGAAAAGACGATGAAAACTTAATCAGTACTGAATGCCAACACATCATACAGTGTCCTAAACAGAACGGGTATGCCCTCTAGTTTCATCACCAATAGCTTGAAGAACATAAAAAAGAAACTTATTCAAGAGACAAGAAATACAAGTTCAACAATATTTAACTTCCTTATGTGCAAACCCTAAATGAGAATATCAAACAGGTAGTCAAAAAGTTCAATATTGATGTCAGCTGGAAATCTAACAGAACACTCAGACCATTCTTTGTTAAAACTAAACAAAGAACATCTGATAATAAACACAAAAGCATCATGAAATGTTCCTGTAAGCAAACCTACATTGGAGAAACTGGAAGACACTTTGAAGCAAGAATAAAAGAACATGAAGACTGCACAAAACTGATAAAAACATAAAATTCTACTTTGGCATTTGCCATGTCAGTGGACATAAAATAGACTGGGACAATTATAGATGCACAAGCAAAAGTACCCATCCCCAGTGACAGGTAAAGTTTAAGTTAATCTATCAGTTTAAATTATTTCATGGACTTTAAAAAGGTTAATTGTGTTGCACTCTTGGTTTCACTTAGAGTCAAAGCTCTGAGCTATATATACTGCCCACCATGAAAAGTAATTGTTGAACATTTCAGTCACGCTAAGAGTCGCTCAACAATAACATATGATAAATCTACATTTGTATTATTTTGAAATGTGAATGATAGTGTGGTTAATTTCTAACAACTTAGTATAGAATATCCTCCTTGTGAAATAAAATTTGACATCAACATTATTCATGCCTGTTCTCCTGTCATTTCAAAAGTGAATGTTGAGCTTTGCCCTGTGCAGCTTTTCAAACGGGAGGCAGACAAATGCTCGAACAGACACCTTGATTTTAAATATATATAAGATTGATCAAATTCTGAAAAATGACAAAAATCAAAGAATCTTTTTATATCAACATGATTAAACCATTGTAAACAGAAACTAGGGACTGGAAATCAGCAGTTTGTGCCTACTGTTGGTCAAATCATTGGTCGTTCTACCAACCACGTTACAAGAAACACTAGACAGTCACATCAGATCTACCTCAATCTTCCTGGATAATGTATGAACCTCTGCAAAAATCAGTGCAAGCTGGTCTGAAGAAGAAAGACAGAAGTCTTTCAAAATGTTGTCTTTGCCATCTTTGCTACTTTTATAGATTAGTTCTTCAAGTTTCACTCTGAACTAGGCAATTGATGTTCATTTCAATTTTTGTTGGTTTATTTCTGTGTTATTTTCTCATTTCTTATCTTGTATTATTTGGGAACATTTTGAGTATTGACCCAAAATTGTATCTGTGACTACTTTTAACCACTATTTGAATGGGACCTGGCATGGCTTGGTGGTTAAGTCATAGGATCAAAACCTATTACCGAACATGCTTGCCCTTTAAGGAGTAAGTGCATTATAAGGTGACAGTCGCTCCTGATATTCCTTGATAAATATTAGGCCAAGAGTTGGCAGTGAGTGGGGTTGACTAGCTGCCTTCCCTTCCCTCTAGCCTATCACTTCAAAAGTAAGGATAGTTAGTGTAGATAGCCCTCAAGTAACTTTGTATGAAATCAACAAACAAAACAGTTATATGAGCTGTTATTGTTAGTATTACTTCAAAAAAGGAGTTTTTTTTACTGGCAGGTGAAGAACAGAAGCAGCTTCTTTCATTTCAAAGTCAGTTATCAAACTGCTTGGAAAAACTCCATGAGAAAGAAAAACAGTGTTCAGAATTGCAGAATGATTGTTGTTTCTTAGAGCAAGCATTGGAAGATGTGTCAAATCAAAAAACCCATGTACAGAGCTTATTGCAGGAAAAGGATTCTACATCAACAGTGTTTCAAAAGGAGCTTGAAGAACAGAAAAAGAAAATAACTCGTGCAGAAAAACAGACTGGACGGATAAATGCAGAACTTCAAGAATTATTGTCTCAAGAATGCCTTACAAATTATAAGGTATTATGAATATTTACATATGTTAACTCTGAACATTGACAACAATAACATTAAAATGTTGTAAAATCAAAATAGTCATGCAACTAGAATGCAGTAGTTTTATTAAACAAAATGGCATGCAATTCCATGGATAAATTTTTATTATATTACTAATTCTGTTGGGATTAATTTAGACCAATATTTTATGTTATTTTACAGTAATAAGATGCCACTCTAAACTTACACTTATTAATTATTTTTAGTATAATTATACACAGTTTGCATAAGTGTCATAATGTGATGTAACATAAATTATTATATTTCTGTTTCATTCCTAAATGTCTATCAGATTTCCACTATTACATTATACATAAGCATTATATAGTAGTTATAATGACAGGTAATTAATTTTTACATGTATGTGCATGTGTGTGTGTGTGTGTGCAATTTGCAACTAAGGTTCATAATTTCATTTACATATGTTCAAAAGCTAGTTATAAGTACCTGTGTCTTACAATATTGTAGTAAAATATTACAAAAATCTACCAATATCACATAATTTCTTTACTCTTATACACAGGTCATGTTAAGTATATTGATTAATGTTAGCATTATTTAATAATAGTTTCAATAGAAATAGAATATAACACTAAAGATTAACGTTTAGTAGTTTGTATTTTTTATCTTAAACTATTAGAATTTTGAAATTGAGGTGAGTGTATCTCAATAATTAGGCTTACTGTGTGTATAGAGTATAGCATTGTTTAAGAAGTTTGGAATTTTATAAACCAAAAGAAAATTATAGCAACTAATTTGATAATTGTCATAATTTTTCATGCAAAACTTGCTTCCATAATAGTGCTAGAATAGTTTTGATATTTGATACATCGAAGTGTACTTTTTACAACTAAATATTATGCAGCCTGCTTTAAAACAGAAAAAGTTACTTTAGCCAAGAATGTATGTGCAGGGAGCTTTATTGCAGTCCTGATGATACTAGTTTATTAATATTTAAAAAACACAGAATTCTTTTAATGTGAGGTCTAGGTACAATTCCTGGATTATTTTTGTGAGTTGTATTACACTGTTTTAGATATAATTTTTCGATAATTTTAAGGAATAAAACTTGTCCTGTTTAATCACATGATCTAAGATGAGAAAGAATGACTAACGTCTTAGTAGTTTCTGAGCCTCAAAATGCAATAGTATATTAAACAATATCCTGTGTTTGTTTAACTTTAACCTTATTTTATGTAGATATAGTGTTTAGAAAAGAAAAATTAAACATTTTACTTCACGAAGATACTTCATTACTTAAAAATGTGATATTTTCCAGAAGGATATCAGACTACGTCTCCTTCAAGAAGTAGCAAAAAGGTGTAGGGATGTTTTGGTTGACTTGTCAGATTTCGACTTAAACATAAATGAAGAACTGAAAAAACAGTTTGTAAAAGTGAGACATGCTGTTTGTAATCATTGTGTTGCTATTATATAGTATTTAAACAAAAGTTTAATGAAATAACTGCTTATTTGTAAATGATTGTTTATGTCAAAATTTTGAAGCCGTTTAACATTTCTGCTTATGTAAATGTAACGAGGTCAGATATATGTGTTTATCAATGTCATATAAAGTACACTGGACATTTAGTATGATGTATTCTTTAAAACATTACAGAAATTTAAAAAATTACAAATAGTAAATTGGAGCACTATTCTTAATACAGTAAGCACTCCAAATGTGCATGTATTCTTACCAGAATAGATTGTTGCTTTGTATGATAATTGAAATGCTACCAATAACTGTAGGGTGTAAATCTTTGAGTGTAAAAAATGCAGATATGTTATTGAGTATTGTCTATAATTTTTACAGGCCAACATTCCATTTCCAACTAAACGAAATTCTCCTCACCCTTCACGTGCATGTTCACATACTTCTTTGCATAGTTTAAGTTCTGCTTCATCTTTGAAATCCAACAGAAGTGATAATCAGATCCCAACAAGTAAATCATCAAGGCTTAGCTTGTCTAATCGTGCTTCAGGCTCATATGTCAGCATTAGCCCGGCAAAGATACAGATTGGAACTGATTTTCCAGGTAAAACTCACTTCAAGGAAAACTTGCATTCAAGCCTTAATTATATGTGTGAACATCAATGGTACTTTTAGGTAATAACTTTTTTTTTATCAAAAGCAGTTTTTTTTTCATATGAACTTGAGAAGAAACAATCATTGCACAAAAACATTAATTTTACAGGATCATCAGACTAAGACTATTTTCAGTGATCAGATTTTGTTTGTCTTTGTTTAAGGTTAAGCTATTGAAAAAAACAGTTTTAAGTTATTGATAAAATCTGTATGAGTGGTTGTCTTCCAAAGTTTATTGGCTAAGTTTATATTTTTCAATTGCTTTTGTTGAAAGAGAACACAAAGTTTTAGATAAGATTTTTTCCAGAAAAGTAATATAATATTTATTCTGGATTTTTGCCACTGAAGAAGTTTTGGTTGTATAGAAAACCTTGAAAACTGGCACCAGAGAAAAATGTTTGTTCACAATTTTTTTATTCTTATTGCTGTTGGTTTATAAATAAAGTATAGAATACTTCCTGAAGTAAGATAGAAAGAAACAAGACTGCATAAATTGTTTGTTTGTTGTAAAGCACAAAACTACACGTTGGACTATCTGTGCTCTGCCCACCCAGTTTTAAGCATAATAAGCCAGCTGATTTATTGCTGACCCACCAGGGACAAATTCTAGAAATCTTATAATTCTTTCCAAACGTAACAGATGATAGAGCTTATTAATCAGTAAATAATTTGCTACAACTTCCAGCCTACAAGTGGCTCAGTGGTAATTCTGAATTTATAATTATAATTTAGGTAAGAACGTAATGTGTTTGCTCGAGTCTTTTGAGATCTGAAACGTTTGTTAAAAATAATTTCTAAGATTTGAAAAAAAATGTTTAATCATTATTTATCATCTTTATAATTTCAAAATTCAAATGTCTGCAGTACGTTGATGTAAGTTACTCAAGTAAATATGACGAACAAAGTTAAAGTAAGAATGCTAAAAACCAGATTTTGATACCTGTGCTGGGCACAGCCCAGATAGCCTGTGTTATAGTTTTGTGCTTAACAACAAATGAAACACAACTACTATCATTAAGTAAGGAGGATTAACATTTGGAATGTAATAAATTGCAACCTTTGTCAAATCTTTAAATATGCCATACTGTCAGGTCAAATTTTATCACATCAGAGGTCAAATACAAAATGTTATTATTTTGAAATAATGTATTATTATAATGTGTTGTTCTGTGTATGTGTCTTAGAACTGTTAGGTTAAAATCTGATAGAATAGCCAATGGAAAGTATAGCTTGTAAGTGACAAATCCTGAAAACATTCTATTTTAGGTAACACATGCAGTAACATTGTTTGTTTCAGTCTGAGTAAAAACATTATTGAAAGACATGGTGAATATTTCAAAAATAAGGCTAAATTGTAATATAATGAGTTAACTCTTCAGCAAAAAAGACCTGTTAATCAAACTAGTAGTGCATACTATGTTGTTTTTTAACATTTCTCAGCTATCTTGCATTAAATATTGAAAAAAAGATAAAGAAAAATGTAATTTTGTCCAAATTTATTGATTAACTGATTTTCAAGTTTATCTAAAATCTACAGGTACAGAATTAATGATAAAATATTACCACTAACTTTTATCTATTGCTCTGAACATTAAATTGGAATCTTTATGTCTTACAGTTTCTGGTATGAAGAGCCCAAGTTCCAGAGAACAGTAAAAGTCATATACTGAAGTTAATCAAATCGCTAGTCATACTGTTTATCTATATATGTATATCGAGATATGTGTCCAATTTTGTTTAAACATAACTAAAATTAGTTCAACATTTGTCATTGTTGCTACATTGCTTAGTAATAGTATTACGTCTGATTTTTTTCAGAGTTCTCAATAAAATGTACAACTATCTTGTGATTGTTACATATACAAACTTTAAAGTACTGTGATCAATCATTCTTCTCAAACACATACACAGCACATATTTAACATAATTTATTTACATATTTTTCTAATGTATTGTGTGGTAACTAAGTTTTTTATTGGCTGTATCATTTAATAAATGGTGTTATTTTATTCAGTATTATCCATTGTGAGAGGTAGTGGGTTCAAATTTATCAACCACTTTCATTAATTAGTTCTGTACTTTTAAATATATATATTCATAGATGATACATAACATGTATAATGTCAGCCATCAACACAACAACATTGATGCATTCAGTTTGTACACTTACATATTTATTTCGCAGTTGCAGTTTTTAGAATACTTGTGTAAGTATGATGTAATCAATAATGAACATACTTGCAGAAAAATCTCGTATCTTTACAAGCATAGAAGTTTTGCATGTTTCCATTAGGATTGAGGTTGATTTCTGACCACTTTGATGGCTTGTACTAAACTTTCATTTTCAGAGTTAGTAGTCTTTATGATCACCTAATTAAATCTATGTACTAATTATGTTATATCCTATGGGCACACTAACGTATTCCATGATCAGCATTACTGACATACATAACTGGTAGACATCACTAACTATAAAAGGCTTATTCCCTTTACATTGTTTCTTAGCAACAAGACTATCACCTGATTGTTCTTAGGCCAACTATGGTGTTTATGTTGAATGCTCGATATTCCTGTTGATTTGTTAGAAAGGTTTGTTTTTTTATTCAAAATAGTTTAATTCAGAAGTTTTATGACATTGAGTTGTAGCCAAAAGCAAAATAAAATTTACCAAGTAGTGTTTCAGCTAAGCCTTACATTTATGTATTAAATTAGACTACAAATAGGCCTACTATTACTAACGTTATAGGGTCAGTGTTTAAAAAGTTTTAAGTGGGGAATAAATGTTAATAAATATTCTTTTGATATTTTAACACATATGTTATCTACTTGGCCTTAAAACATAAAGAAAATAAACATTTATTACTACCAAATATCTCTTATTTTTTGTACAGTCGAAAGAGTTGAAAATTTGTGTTGGAATGTCTGTACTATGTTTTCTACTTCCTGACCTAGAATACAGTGAAAAGGCTCAAGAGTGCTGTTTAAGTCTCTTTCAGAGTGCACATGTACTTTTATTTATGATAACATTTCATTTTTCTCCATACTTTTTATTATAAATGTGGTGATTAAAGAATTACTTCACGACTGATGAAATAAGTGAAGGGTAGGTGAATTTTAGAGGTACAGACAAATTCGTTTTAGTTAAATCCTATAATTTTTATTAATCATTCAACAATAGTTTCCCATCATTTTTTACTGGCTTTTAAGCTAGTTTTATTATAATTTATGAACAGATGTATACGGTTCACTGACTGAATACTTGCATGAACATTTATGACAGTAAACCCATCAGTCAAAACAGAGCGTAAAACAGCCTTTTCTGTAGCTTATTCTTCATTTATAACTTAATTGACAGCTGGTCATGATAGTTTTGAAGATGAAATTGTGACTATAAGTATGTTGAATAGGCATGAAAGTTATTTGCTGTATGGCAGAAACCATATTTGTTTGTGTTTATACAGAAGTAGCAGCTTGTAAGTACAATACTACAACTTTTAAAAGTCTTTTTCTAATAATTAAAGTAACATTTGGACACATATTTGAAAATTTTCTCTATGCTTAATAAACAATGGTGTTGGTAAGCCTTCATTAAGCTAGAAATATAGTTACTTGCAGTTGTTTGACTTATTGTTAAGAAGAGCTTTGAAAACTATAATGTAGTAGAAGTTGTATCTGAATTTGTTTATGTTTTCAATATAATACTGTTGTTTCTTTAGTAAGAACACTTAAGTATTGTTTTATGCTAATAGTTATAGTTTAATATCATATGCCAGTTAAGTTTTTAAGTAACTGACATGTATTTAACATTTGTAACACTTGCTAAAGTATTTAATTCATCTACTTAATCTCATCTAAGAGTTGACTCTAATTAAATATAGTTTTTAATTCTGCTTTGCTGATCAGAGTCTGACCATTTTGACATGGAAAGTAGTATTGTGAGATTAATATTTGGACTTGTTGATATGGCAACTGACCATCTTACAAGTAGTTTAGATTACAATTGCAATTAATCACAAAGATGAATGTCAGTATGATTTCTTAGTTCCCATGTGTATTGTTTATGTTTTGCAATATAAAGCAAAGATCATCATTTTAATATGAACAATAGACACATATTTATGATTTTTTATGAAAGAGTATGAAAAAAATATGGTTTACAAAGAACAATGGGTATATGGAAGGTTACTGTTCTTTCATTCAGAAGTTCTTATTAATAATAGTATAAAAAATTATACATCTAGAAAAACTAAATTCATTATACTAGTTTATGCAGGTGCCTAGATTTTAAAGGTCTCAAGTGAATTTTTCTGTAATACCAATAAGAAAGCAAAATATGCAACATGATTTAGTTTTATTAAAGATATGATTTACATATACTAAAAGCAAAATTATTGAAGTAATAAAAACTTTAAGAAAAGTAAACATGAAGCAGAATTTCATTTTACAATATTTTAAATATAGGTTCTATATGTTTTTCTGAAGCCAAGTTAAACTCTAACATTGTGGTTGATATTCCAAAACATACATACCTCTTCTCACACTACAGCTATTACTTGATTGCTAGGGTTTTCTTTCATTTGCCTGTTTAAGTATTGGTCTGTTTTTTTCTTGCTGTCTCCAGTCTTTTATACCCCACTTAATTGTCCTTGGCAATATCTGTCTTGTGACACTATCCACCTACATCAATGTAACCTCTATCTTGGTACTGTATATATAAGCACCTACTTCAGATAATATTATCACTTTTTTGAGACTGGCCCAATCCGCAGTCTCTAACACTGGCTCTTAATGGGGATCAAGGGTCGGAGAGTGTGAAAGTAGGTAAGTATTATTGGAAATACATTTTTGATTTAAGAAAATGTTAACTTCCAACATATACTTACCTATTCTCACACTACAGCTAGAATCCGACATTGATAAGTTGGAGGGGCCAGTGAGGGCATTATTCATACAGAATGCATCTGCATAGATATGTTCATGCCAATAGAAGACTAGCATCCTAGTGGGAGAACCACACTACATCTAGAACAGGTATGCTCTTCACCCGGAAACTAAATCATGCACTATTGGTTGAATTTGATGTGATCCGTCATCACCATTGGTCAGGCCCCAATCAGGTAGTGGAGGTCCCACTGCTCGTGGTTGGAATTATAGGGCCATGGCTAGGGCATTTGGGCCACATTAGATATATTTGTGAGTGGAACCCATCTGGTATCTATAGAGTGATGTGTTCTGAGCCACTGTAATCATGACGAGAAGGTAAACAACACAGAAGCAGACAATCCCTGTTCTCAACCTGTAGAAGACCGAAAGGCAACACCCCAAACTTGAAATAATGGGATCCGGTATGCCGTACTCAACCTGAGGAAACAGAACTCACCTGGTGTAGAACTATGAGCACTCATGGGACCATGATGGGACCACTCTGAGTTTGGAATTATGAGGAGACAGTGGACCCTCTTTCATAAACAATGTACTGAACCAATATTGATCAAAAAGAAGAGCCATGCTCTACCCAACCAGATACCTGAGCATCAAATCTGAACTTGTATTACTAGTAGGCTCCCCCAAAGGCTAGTGCCTTTCGTACCAAAATCTGAGAAAAACACTTCTAGGGACCCGGGTAGGAGAGCCCTCAACTTAACCTTTTTCTCTAAGAGTAGAGGAAAGTCACTCGAACTGGCTCCACTAGCAGAATGGGGAGGGAGGGGGTAATGTGTGTTGTGTTTGGGAGTCATGAGAAACGAAGTTCCCTAAATTTTTAAAAGCAAACTGACACAGATTTATCCAATCTAATTACCAGCAAGAACAGGCAGGATCCCCCCCTATGTTTTACTTCTGCTAGTCCATGAGTGGCAGTCCAGCATAGTACAGCAATAATACCACCTGGTCTGCCTGTAGGTGGTCTTATGGAACATCCCATTTCCACAGAGCCTGTTGCCTGTAGGTATATTGTGTTAATGTTTGCTAGTGTGAATTTGGTTTGATAAAAGCACATCTGACTGGGCAACACTCGCCACAGAGTGGGATCCTGTGAAAAAGAGGTAGGGGATCCTAGAAAGCAAAGAGACAAGATTAGTAATGAAAATACTCACCCCTCACAAAATTTACAGAATATACTAAATTTCTAGGTTTCAATTTTAATGGATGTTTAAACTGGAAACTACACATTAAAGTATAAAAATGGGTTTAAAATCTGATCTAGCGGTAAGTACAGGTATGATTATTACCTCCAGAACAGTAAGATACACATTAGCACGAAGTGGCCATATCTTGCCTAACGGTAAGTACACCTATAAGTTCTTTTCTGCCTCATTTCTGTCCATGCATTTTTGTTAAAGTGTGTAAATTACTCTGGTTAAAGAGTTTAACATTATCAAAGAGGATAAATTAGTTTACGGAACTTTTTATCTTTTCTTAACAACATTGATTTTCTATAGAGATTGAAGTTAGAACATTGGTCAACTGAATTTGAAAATTTTTTCTTTCACCTGTGGTAGAACTGTAGATCAAGGATCTGGTGTGAGTCGGGTTCGAATCAGTGTGATATCACAAAATATTCTTCGCACTTTAAACTGTGGGCACATTACAAGAATGACAGTCAAATTTTTGGCGTGGGCGGTATGGTGCTGCTGACTGAGTGTCTTCTGTCTGATCACTAGTTCAAAATTAGGAACAGAGGCGGATAGTCTTAGTAGCTGCTTTGTCATAAATACAAATATTTCAGATGGATGGTGTTTGGCAGTAAATCAGTCACAAGTATAAACATAAGGCAAGGATCTGTAGAAATATCATGTACATATATTTTGAGATATGTTGGACAACTATTCACACATATTTTGATATAAGTTGGATTATTATTTACACACACTTGAGATATGATGGAATGTCTTGTACACGTATTTTGAAAATGTTGGAATATCATGCGCTCATGTTTGGAGATATTTTGGAATATCATGTAAACATGTATATAAACTGTAGGGCTTAAACGTTCTGTATGTTTTAATTATGATTTAGTAAACTATCGAGAAGCTTCGTAAATAATTTTTTTACCTATACATTAGATATAGAAATTAAGCTCTTATTTTTTGGGACGGTTTGAAGTATAGGTAAAAGGAAGAAAATATTCGCAACAATAACACGTTTGTACTATAACTAATAAACGGCCCGGCATGGCTAGGTGGTTAGGACGCTCGACTCGCAATCTG